CCTGAGCCGGACTGGTGTCCCCACAAAGCCGAACCGAACAGCTCGCAATTATTGGCACGAGTTCAAGGCACGCTCCGCGATAAACTAAGGCCATCACCTCTGGAGTTCTAAATAGGGCATTTCGGATGGCTTTCTCCGTTTTTTTTCTCCATAATTAGTTACATAGCACTTTATCGCTGGTAGTTGAGCTGCATTACCCACAATCTGTGGCTGCGGGCTTTGCATTCAAGCGAGTTATGAAAAAGTCACGAACCGATGCTGTCAGTACCTATCAAGTTGTCAATGTATGACACTAACCGGAGAAACTCCTTAAGAACCTGCGCCAAATGGGCACTGACTGACGTGGCTTCTTCAACGAGGACAAAGTACGCAAATTATACGGATTGAATTCAGTCACCATTTCAAACGCCCATATAACGTGGCAAAATGACCGCCTCTAGAACGCGTATATAAGTCCTATGTGAATCATATAAGACAGCCCTCCGTATAACCAAACAGCTAGCACTTTATGCTCAGGAATGCATCACTGCTATTTCCTACCTGTAATGTTTAACTTTGTTCTTTTTTTTCTGACCGAATTGCTCTACTAACAACATTAGCATATGGTGTTTGTGTAACCACGGTCCAAGCTCGCTGCTCTGCAAAGGGGGGGGGGACGGACAAGACAATCGTAACTTGTCGCGTCGCCGCGCGCGGCATATTGTGCGGCCGTGCGGCTGTCTACGGACAACTTGAACTCAATCCCTTTGAACGCGTCGATCTTCTCTTTTTCTCTGCACTCTCTCGTCCGCATGGCACTCTATGGCCGTTGTGACTTCGCTCACTCCAGCTTTTCACCGACTATAAGTAGCTCACCCACCCCGGAGTCCCCTCCCCTTGAAAAATCCCGTTTCCTGGCTCGCCATACGTTTTTTGCACGTTTCGATGCTTTGGCAGCCGCTGCCCTCTATCCGTCTGCGTCACAGGGTTTCGTAACAGGACCATGCACAAAAGTTCAAGATGTCACGTAACCGTGCGCGGCAAATCCTCGATGTGCATCAGCTTGTCGGCTGAAGGAGCGAAACCAAAATCAGTTCTGTCGAAATTTTCTTCCCCTTCGTCCCTCAACTTTTAGCGGGAAGACAAGACAACTCGTTTGCCTAGCGCTGCGCCACTCCTTCCAGCGCGGCACATTACGATTGTCTTGTCACATGTTCCAACATTAATTCATTCACTATTCATTTTGTGATGCAACTGATGGACGAGTTATGACTATGTTCGGTCACTGCCGTTCCTTATGTTGCAGCAGAAGTATAAAAGTGATTTCCTGCGCGAGGTTGCACTTCAGAAACGTGAGATCAACGAGAAATAAACGCCCACTCCGAACTTTGAACATATCAATAAAACCTGCGAAGTGTCCTGAATTGTCCGGAGTGGCGACGCTAACAGTGAGACAAATGGTGACGCATTTAGAGGAGGACAAAGTACACTCCCGTTAACAAGGATATGTCGTCAACTGAGACCGTCCATTGATTTGATGGGCAAAAACGCTGAATTGTGACTTCGTCATAAATCACGGTTGACTTCCGTTTCAATGGAGAAATCGCATGTTCAAACCCCGCCCTGCCGCCGTTGGAACAATTTTTCGTGAATTACGGACCTCCTCCCCATCCTCAAGAAGTATTCGTCTTATACGACGTTACGGTGAATTTATTCCAACTTCCCACCACTTTTTCAAAGATTTTCCCCAATTTCCACCAGTTCCCCAAAAATTGTCGTGGAAAGAGCGAGTAGGTGAGGATGGAAGCACGTTGAACGGGAGAATCTGAGAAAAGTCAGCAACCGAAAGCGTTTTTCACAAGGGCGAACTCGATCGCTCGGGAGCCTCAACGTACGACGCGCCCCGACAGGGTCACCACCTGGAAGTGGGTTGAGTGAGCACCAGCAGTGCGAAGGCGAGGACACTCTCGCTTTTTATAGAACGGCTGCATGAGGTGGCCTCTCATCTAAAAACTTGATACACATAAAAAAATAGAAGATTCACGAAAATGATTTGGAAAACGGCAACCCAACCGGTATTAATAGCCAAGCGTCCATCAAGCTAAGAGTCGCCAAATAATAGCTGACCCTCCCG